GGTGAACAGAAAATACAAACCAAGGAGACAAGGGATGATGTCTACAAAACTTGTGAGAGTTTAATAGCCATAACGGATAAAATTGAGTATTTTGAAGTACAGTCCAAGCAAAAAAACTTGATCTTTGAGGGAATCAAGGAGTCAGCTGGAGAAAGCTGGACGGAAGCGGAATGTAAGGTGAAGGAGATTCTAAAGAATAAACTGCAAATTCATCAAGAAATTGAGATGGAGCGGGCTCACAGAGTCGGGAAACCTTCTGATCGTGGTCTGAGGGCGGTGATGGTAGAGTTGATGAAAGAGAAGGATAAGGCACACATACAGCAACAAGCAAAGAAGTGTTAGTTACATTCAGTGTTAGTTACATTCTAAGTAAACAGGAAATATTTTGATCACTTACATAAACTCAATTCACATGAACTTAATGACCACTTAGCTCTCCCTACACAAGCCGATACCAAATATGAGCTACACGCTGTTTGATTACATATTTATTCTGGAGTCTGATTTACTGCTAACCACCACAGGGTTAAGTATGGTCAGAGATAAACTTTTGTGAGGATCCTCTGCATAAACATGGGGTCCAGCGTCCTGTTTCCTAGTAATTCTAGGGGCTTCCCAGAACCGGAGTGAGAAGGGAGGGGGCCCGCTAGATGTCCAGATTGACATGATGCAGGAGGTTCAAGCTATATAATCAGCTGCAAAGCTGATAAGAGAGACTCAGACTTGGCGAGCGTGTGGGTGCATTTGGGGGGACTTTAGAAGACAGACAAAGACTCCAAACTCTGCAGAGATCCAAAACTCCAGGTGGTTCTGTTTCTCTCCCTCTGAATTCACATTACAATATATTGTTCAATAAATGATGATTGGCACTGCAGTGATTCTCCCTGTGAATTAATTCTATACACGACAATAGAATTATTGACAGAGCTGTCTTTATGTGAATGGGGTATTAACTGTCCAAGATACGCTTACAACCAACGTGCTGCTCACACACTAAAGCAACACAACTAATAATCATTTACTGTATGACACTCTGAATGGGGCCATTTGATACGATGAGTGCTTTTACTTTGACACTCTAAGTATATTTAGCTTGGTAATACTTCTGTACATTTACTTGAGTAAGATTTTGAATGCAGGACTTTTAATTGTAACAAAGTATTTTTGCACCACTGGATTGGTACTTTTTGTTTTATTAAAGGATCTGAATACTTCTTCCGCAGCTGGCTGTTAGACATGTTTCAAACTTGTCTAATGAAAAGACAAGTTGCAGTGCATTATGGGATTTTTTTTTTATTTGACCGATACTATGATATGTTTGTCTCTGCTGCTTCAATTGTGACCATTCTTTTATAAAATCTGTCTCTTGTGAGTTTCCCAACTTTGTGGGAATGCAATACTGAATATTAGGAGTAACCCTTTATGTTGAATTTGGGTGTGCCTATTAATTATGCTGAGACAAGGAGAGTATGAAGGGGTCGCTGGACCCTCAGTGGTATGAAGAAATACGCTGGTATATTGATATCTGCGATGGCAGATGAGCGTTGGAACCAACAACAACAAGCATGACCCATGTACGAAATGAGGCAAGTGATTTGTTACAGAAGTTAAGAGTTTTCGAGGGACTGGATCTGGAACTGAACACAATTGGAAATACTGAAATTCATTATCATGAACCGGATGATGACTTTGACCCTGAAGAAAACTTTTTTAAGAACTCTGAATATAACTGCAAGTATTACACGGATGAGCAGTTTAACAGCAATGTTAAGACTGAAAACAAATTATCATTAATTCACTTTAATAGCAGAAGTTTATACGCAAACTTTCAGAGTATAAAACATTATCTTAGTAGTCTTACACATTCTTTTAATAAAATTGCTATTTCTGAAACTTGGATGAATAATGTAAGGGGAATGGATTTTGACCTTGATGGCTATAACTTGGTATGCACAAACTGGGAAAATAAGATGGGAGGTGGTGTGGCCTTGTACACAGATAAAAACTTTTGTTGTAAGAAAGTGAAGAAAATGTCAAGGGTGGTGGATAATTTGCTGGAGTGTGTGACTGTAGAAATACTCGTGGAAAAAAAGAAAAATGTTGTAATAAGCTGTATTTATAGAGCACCTGGAGCCAGCATAGAAAA